AGGCAGGAGACACTGAGTGTCCAGTGAATGAGGCAAAGCATCAGGGACTATTTCAGGGAGCCCAGCCCAGCCCACCACTGTGACAACCTCAGCTCCAGACAAGCTCATTCCCACCAGAAGGCAGGGGATTGCTGGGATGTGGGGCTCAGGTTTCCCAAAAGCAGCAAACTACTGCAGCCAGCCCAGCCACCAGGCCCAGCAGCAGCCACGGGCACCTGCCTGAGGATGTTGATGCAGCCATTCCCATTGGTGAGGAAGAACATGTTGTTATCGTTGTTCCAGGAGATCTCGTTCACCTCAAACTTGAACTGTTCCTCAGCTTTGGAGCGATGTGTCTTGGCATCAATGAAGGTGACCACATCATCCTTGTTCCCCACGGCGATGGTCTGTCCGTCAGGGCTCCAGCAGATGTTGATGTTCTCACCTGAAAGGACAAAAAGGCAGCAGGTCCCACTTCCACTCCAAACCATTCCCAAATGGGAAAGACTGCCAGTTCTTCAATCTAACACACAAACCCTTCACAGCAGCTACCCAGCAAAACCAAACTTGTGAGAAGTACAGCTTGAAAACAATATGCCATGCCCCATTTCAGCCAAAATGGGACCACAGCAATCACCACACAAGGTCAAGCCAAAGATCCTCTGAATCCAGTCATCTCTGAGATCCAGAAAAAGCAGAAGCCAAAAGTAAGTACCTTTGAATAAAGGTTAAGAACATGGCAGGTTACTGTAACGCAACCTTACAATGCTATTCCCAGCCCAAACAACTCAAAACTGGACATTTCTAAGAGCAGAGAGGGTATTTGGGTTAAGCAGAACATGAATTCAAATTGTTTTTCTGAATGCACACAAACTTTTATTTCCACCATGGCTCTCTGTAAACACGCTTTTCCCCAGTCTCCAGCCCCACAGCCCACTGGCTCCAGAGACGAGTACAAAGGACATTTTAACAGCCAGCACATATTTCAGTAGTTCTACCAGTCCTTTTACCCACAGTACAGCAGCTCTCACATGATGAGCGCAACACAAATATAAAGCACTTAGCAAAGATGTCCCAACCAGAAATAACCACAGGAAAGGTCCGAAGCTCTGTGCCACTGCAGGAAGTGCCCTGGGAAGGCAGGGACTCACCTTTGGTGTTGACAGTGGCGATGCACTTGGTGGTGCGGACGTCCCAGATGCGGATGGTTTTGTCTCCTGACGCTGTGACGAAGAGGTCAGGGTTGCTGGGGTGCCAGCAGAGCTGATCCACGCTGTCCCCGTGGCCCCGGTAGTTGTTCTCCTTCACCTGGAGGGAGAGGGCAGACGCCGTGAGGATGCGCCTGGCTCCGCTCCCGCTCCTGCCCCCCGTCCCAGCACACTGCATCCCCGCCGGGATCCATCAGGAGCCCCGCGGCCAGCCCAGTCACATTCCCGGCCCACGGCCGGCCAGGATACAAATCCCCGCCGCCTTCCCCGCCAGGCTCCAGCTCCGCTCCCGGCTGGCAGACCCGGCCTGCGCCGTCCTTGGCGATGCTCCTGCTCCGGTGCACACCGAGCAGCCACCCCCAGGCCCTGCACCGCTTCCACACACCAGCCCAAGCAGCCGCACCCGGCTGCCCAAGGGCTCCCGGTACCGATCCCACCGCCCGACGCCGGGGGATCTCACCAGCCGGTCCTTCTCGAGCAGGAAGACGCTGGCTGTCTTGTCGAAGGAGCCGGAGGCGAGGCGGCGGCCGCAGCAGCTCCAGGCCACCGAGTGCACCTTGGCGCCGTGCGCCGGGAACTCGCGGCTCCGCGTGTTGGCGCGGAACAGCTCCTGCATGGCCTGCACGTAGGGCGACAGCGCCATGGCGGGGCCGCCGCCACCGGC